TTCTACAGAATCATCCGTGGTACACCACGGGGGTCTTTGCTCTGAACCGCGTCGACACTCCTAATCCCGGCGATTCGTTTCAGAAAACCCGTTACAGCCGCTTGTTTGTACCCGGCATCGTTTTTCAATTTTTCAGCCATTGCCCATGAATCATGGCCGTCGTGGGAGCATCGGCATGAAGATCGACTTAAACACGTGGAGTTCAGTCTTCAGACTCTGTTTTTTAGTCGTAACGACTTTGGTTAGTCCATGCGGGAGGCTACTGCCCGCCAAATTAGCCGATCGATGTCTTCCTCTCATTTTTTATCACCAGTAGACATGACCCAGAGGTACGTGAACTTCTCCAATTGTCCTGCTATTTTTCTGTTTTTCTGCAGGGTGCAAAAATGATCAAGTATTGCGTTATGTTCATGAAACAAGAATCGCATATCGTTGACAGTAACTATCTCTAAGCTCACTGGACCATGCCTCAGAATAATTAGACAGATTGTGTTTTACTTCCGGCCTGAACATCCGCTCCGCTTAAACACTGTCTTTTGTTAGGAAGTGAATGCACACTGAACTCATTTCCCGAACTTTATTACTAACCTCATAATTTCTGTGAAACCGATTTCATGGGGCAGTGATCCATTTGTCCTAAGCCCAGAAGCCGCTTAAGTAGACGTTTTTCCAGTGGCATTAGAGAGCCACAGCTCAAGGATGCGTTTCGCATCGTTTTATATTCTTAGTGATCTCGTCGCTCAGAAGTCGGTATACGTTTTTTTCTTTGTCCTGTACATGGTTTTGCGGAGAACCAAAAACCTGATTTCGTACTCCGCCGAAATATGTTGCTAAGCGAATGACTCCAGCAATGCGGACGTAGGGGAAAGATTAGAATGTTCCACTATAGTTACCGGACTAGCTGCAGAAAATGTGTTTAAGCTTTAGGTTTTGAGACGATGGTGCCGTTGTCAACGAATGAGCAACAGCCGCCTTGCAAATCTTGATGGCAGGAGGGCCCCAAAGACCGAAGACTCAATAGGCACTTACTCGATTTAGGTGGAATGCTTGTACGGAACAGGGCGTCGTCTTCGATGCTGTTGGATAAGCTAATGAATAATCGATTGAACAAGTCCTTTCCAACAGGAGTTTATAATAATTTGGTTATCGCGAATGACGTATAGTCGTTTGCATTGGTTTTTGCAGACACGTCATGCGCTTTGAGCACCGTTTAACGAAACGATGAGAAAAATGTTTTAAACACAAAATTAAAGGACAATTTGTTCGTATAACCATTATTGAATTATTTTTGTGATATACGTCCATTATTTAAAGTATTTATTCTTTTCCAATTAGATATTAAATAAGATCGTGAAAAGCAGTGGTAAGGTTAATCATTTGTTAATCGTTTGGGCGAGCTAGAGGCGCGGGGGCGGGGTGGAATCACAGCGTGCATAAATACTCTTGCTATCTGCTAGTTACGTTGATTAAGCAGTTTTTAAATCGTCTGACTGACTGGCGGACAGATTGATAGAG